AAAAAGTTAAAAAAATCTGTGTAATTGTATTCAACCCCCCCTTCTACAATTACTTTCTGTTTATTGCCTTACCCTTCGGGACTAACAAGACTCAAATACGAGATATTAAAAGAAAATAAGATAGCTAAAAATGAAGAAATGAGTGTTATAATATTGGTGCGTACAATGTGTATCGATAGGTTAAATTAATTCCAACTGATTGAATCAATTAAATTTCGCCTTTAGAAAATTTACATAAAAGAATTCCTTTTCTTTTCTATACACATTTAGACATAGGATTATTGGGCTAGCACCCAGTGGGAGTTATCAGCATGTGCGTATGTGAATCACATATAGAGGAAACCTGCATTGGTTTTTGCATGCTCAGACAATACCAACTCCTTATTTATAAGGTATAATTCTAAACACATCATAGGTATAATTCTAAACACCCTATGATGTATAACTTTTAATTAAATACATCATTAGATCCTATTGGGTTTTATTAGCAAAGTTTTCCAATTTAATGTTTGTAACCAAAATATTTAATTTTTTGTTGTGTTATCATTTTAACTCTAACACTTATGTTTTAAATTTTCTAAAATAGAATATCAAAAGTTAAAATCTAAAAAAAAAAAAAATCACACACAATTATTTTCTTTTAACAATATATTATTAAAATATTAAATACATTTAATAAAATATTATTAAAAATTCAATTCAAGTATTATTTCTCTCAAATAAGAAGTTTTAGAGATTTTTATACTCTCTTGTTTTGTCTATTTTAACATACTAGAAGGATACTCACATAATATAGCGAGATACATCTTAATTTTAATGTTTCGTTTTATTATTTATTTATGTCGATATAATACAAGTTTTAGTGGTTTTGAGAAAACGATAATGTTTTTTTAATACAATATAAATTTAAATATATCATAAAAATTTGGGAAAAAAATCGATATTAATATCAAATTTACTATTTAAAGTTCTGTTTTTTGTGTAATTTCTTTAATTCAATAGTTTATTTATTAGATTTAGATCTAATAATGAAGTAATTTATTTATCATTTAATAATATATTTTTTATAAAATTAATAATTAAGTAATAATTATCTTAATTATATTTTAGTTTTTTTATATTCAAAATGAGATGTTTATCCCGTATTTGATCATGTTTATCTATAATTAATTACACAAATTTAAAAATGAAGCTTAATAAGTTGTACTTACATACAATTTACTTGTAATCTTGAATTTTAGATAATATGCATCAATAAACAGTATTTTATACATAAAAAATAATTTTTAATTTTTTTTTCAAATGATTTATAATATAATATAGATAAGCTAGCATAACTGTTAAACTAAAAAAATTGTTAAATCTCAATTCTTTTTATTTTAACATAGCTATTGAAGATGATATTAAAAATGTAAAATGAGGAGGCAAGAAGTCGAAAAGGCAAGTAAGTCATGCACCCTTTTCTTCACAGGTCATAAAATCTCTTGTTACGTGTCTCCACTGCTACCGCTGAATGTTCGAAAGCAATTTTCAGCAGGTCCTATTTGCACCCAATATCTTCCCCTTTTTCATTTTTGTAATCAAGGTCGATATGCTATTTTATCTCTCATCATCTCAACTGCGTTCCAGATTCTCTTCTATCTACAAAAATCTTGGGTCCACTTCCCTTCGCACTTTTCCCATTTCTTTCTCGAATTTCACCTTTTTGCAGAAATTGTAATTAATTTCCTCTCCAGAATCACTTCCTCTTCTTCTTCATCTCATTTTTCACAATCGATTCCATACGGTATTCAGTTGTCACTGGATTTCTGTTTCTTGTTTTCCGTATGTCATCGCTTGTTCTTGTTTCCTTGACTTGGGTCGATTCCAAGTTCCCGATTTTGTGAAAAAAAGACCTGCTTTTGCTGTTTGGTGTTGCTAGATTCTTCTTACCAGGAGTGGGTTTTGCTTCAATTCGATTCTCAGTGGAAGAAATTCCATTTTTACCCGATTGGGTTTGGTTTAGGTTTGCGTCGAATCTTCAATTTGGGGGAAATTTTGACTGCCATCACTTCAAGTAAAAGTCAAACATTTTAGGGTTACTGAGAAGTCAATGCCCTTTTGAGTTAAGATCGCTGTTTTTCGATCAATAAGGTATGAATCCAACTTGTGGATGGTCTGTTTTCCTGATTTTCTTGATGATACTTTCCAAGTGCCAAATTTGATACTGACTTACTGCAATTTTCTGCTTGAAATCAATATGAATTTTGAGATTGAAAAGCTTTTAAGCTCTTTTCTTTCTTTCTTGTGTTGTTGAATTCAGAAGGGGATAAAAGAGATGAAGAGAGGGAAAGATGAAGAGAAAACCATGGGACCGATGTTTCCAAGGCTTCATGTGAATGATACCGAAAAAGGAGGTCCAAGAGCACCTCCTAGAAACAAAATGGCTCTTTATGAACAGCTTAGTATACCTTCACAGAGGTTTAATGGTGGGGTTTTGCCCAACTCTCTTCCACCATCATCTTCAACTCCGGTGAGTTAAAATACCCTTTTAGTTTATGCCTAGATTTGAATGAATTCATATCCAATTTATACAATTATACCATATATGTCGAACTCTTGGTGCTATGCATGCTTTCACATTCATCATAAGTCTCATAAATGGTCTAAATTGGTAATTTTAATGTTATCGAATGATTCCAGGGAACCATGAATGAAATTCAACAATCTTCTCCAATGCACCCGACCAGAAAGAGAGATACCTACCATTCCGATTTCAGCAACCAACGAGTGCACCAAGAACATAAAAGGAGACAAGAAGACGATGACTTTAGGGTTCCAGTCTTTGATCATCAATCTGGGACAAGTCAAAATCGTAGTGTGAATGTGAATCATCAAAATAGAGAGAACGAAGGTATCACCCCATTTGGTGCAGTTTTTTCAGGTCGTTTGGCGAACATTCAGAATGCTAGACAAAGCAATAGATTTCAAAAAGAAAACTCTCAAGAGTTTGCAAGATCTGCTTCAAATCAATCATCTCGACAAAACATTAAAGCTCCATTGAAGGAGACCAATGAATCTTCAAGTTTTAGCCATAGAAATGTATCTAATAATTCTAGCAGATTACAGAGTAATGGGAATTTACGGGATTACAGACTTGAAGCCGATAACACTTTGTGGGGTGATAATGTATTAAATGAGGCACCTAAAGTTGGTTTTGGGAATGCCTCAGTCCCGGTTAGGGAGGTTCAACAAGAAGCAGTGAGAAGCCCCAATGATCCTACCAATGCTGATGCTGTTTCTGAGACCTCGATGGTTGATTCAATATGTGGAGTTGATATTTCTCCTGATGATGTTGTGGGGATTATTGGTCAGAAGCATTTTTGGAAGGCAAGAAGAGCTATTGTCAAGTAAGTTCTTCTATTCAACCCACTTAATTGCATTTGGTTTGACAATATCTTCCTTGAATATTTTTTTTTTTCATTTGCACTTCTGCTACTCCTTGGGGTCTGCTTACATCCTACCCTCCCCAGACCCAGATCCCTGACTGTGTTCGTTTGGCCTGGTTTGGTTTGGTTCGGTTTTTTGCAGTCTAAGATTGCATGCAATGATTCATAAAGATAGCTCTTATTTTGCATTCGAAAGGAATCATCCAAAACTAGATTCTTGGATTTGCATTTGATCATCCAAAAAATCTGATTTGACATCAGAAGTGCTGAAAGAATTGCAAGTATTCAGATAAAACATGACTGAACTGAAATTTAGAGCTGAAAGGTGTATTGGGGATAATGGGTTGGGATCAATTTTCAGTTTTTTCTTCACAAGCCCTCGTTCTCCACGGAAATAGCCTCTAACCCCTCAGGTTAGAGGAAGGGTTGTGTACGTCTTAAGCTCCTAGACCCTGCTTGCCATGGAATTCATTGGGTCGTTTCGTTTGGGGTCAATTTTACACCCTTGTCACATTTTATACTACTCATGGACATGATTATTTACATTCCATCTGTTTCAATCTGAATAATATTGAGGCTCCATTCATTTACCTTTTTCCTTCTGTGGGTTCCACATTTCGTATGTTGTGAGGCAGCAAGATGTGATTGATGTGAGGAGAAATGAAAATGGAACCCATGAAATGGTAAGGTATAACAGCAGAATATAGAGATTCTTTACCCCCTTTGAGTTCTAGTGTTCCTTTAAAATTTCTATTTTCTTGTAAATGAAACTTATTTTCTGAATTTTATGGCAGGCTCCATTTCATAGGTTGAGTCGATGTTCTATAGACGATCTTTTAAGCTATTGTGAACCCATACTCGAATGTAACTGTCCTCTATGATCATGGTTTTGGTTTTGGCAAATTGTAACCATCCCTGTTACTCACAGCCGTTGGATTAAAATAGATGGATGGTTTGGATGGGTTGGTTACCTTGTTCTCTTTTTTTAGTTCTCTCTTTCACCCACCCTTTGATTCTTAGTATCTGCGCTCTTTTTGTTGTCCAAGTGCTGTATTACCGTTGTCAAGTAATAAACCACACCCGATAAAACCAAACAAACTCGATGTATCTGGAGGGTGTGACGATTGTCAAAATAATATATGGTAAAATTCTTACTTAATAAATTTATACTGCTTTAGTGCTATATTTACTTGTCACTGGGTCTTTTTCGTTTGTTTCTTTCTCTTCTTCATCAAGTATCGTTGCATGTTGGTGGGATAAGTCTACTTTTGTCTTGGTTATGAAGCTACCAAACTCCTGAAGGCAACAATGACGAAACTACTTGTATTAAACCCAAGTGTTCCATGGGTAAAAAATTGAGAACCAAGATGTATTATGTATATATAACTCAAGTGAAGATATTCATATGCCCGACTATAGGCGGTTGGGTTTAGGGTTTAGGGTTTAGGGATGGAGGGTTTATGTTCTACTTTTTGAATACATCATCAAGAACCAAACTTCCAAGAATAATATTATATGACGATTATGACGTCTTATTTTCATTCCTTTTGTTTACAGCCAACAACGAGTATTTGCTGTTCAAGTGTTTGAGCTCCACAGATTGATAAAGGTAAGGTCCATCAACTGCTTGGTGCTTATTTGGTCGTATTTGTAGATCTAAATTATTGTCGTTTCACGCCTATGGTTCCTCAAGTTGAAATTGTTGCGAACTTGTACCGGAAACATGGTTTTCAATTCTCTTTGATTAAAATCAACTGGGAATGATTTAAACTCGATTATGTAAAACAGGTTCAGAGATTAATTGCTGGATCACCACATCTTTTGGTCGAAGACAACGCTTATTTGGCAAAACCGCCAAAAGTTTCTCCAATCAAGAAACTTCCTCTCGAGTATGTATTGAAATCTACTTTAAACACACCTAAGCACAAAAGCGACGTCGAGAAACCAAACGAGGAGACGGAATTCTCAGCCGAGAATGCCGTTGGGAAGGCGTCTCTATCTTCTGTGCAGAACGACAGTCAGATGCCGAATTGCAGACCCTACAGCGGGAACCCGTTGCCACCATCGGAGCCAAATATGGGTGGTTCTTGGAATTTCAACCCGCCACCTGGACACCAATGGTTGATTCCAGTGATGTCTCCATCTGAAGGACTCGTCTACAAACCGTACCCTGGACCTGGGTTCATGAACCCACTTTATGGTGGTTGCGGACCTCCTGGACCTCCTCCTGGCTCTATGCCCATGATTGGTAAGTCATCTTGTAAATTTCATGTTATCTTTAATAAAGAACTTGCATCCTAGGGGACGTTTGCCAACACAAATTGGGTAAGCTCTAATCGGGTAACCGTAAGAGTGGGCTTTGGTTAAACACTGATCACTAATCGAATAATATGATCCGTATCAATGGATGCGAATACGTATATATAGTCGTATCTGTAGCCATGAATATCCAAATTCCATGTTCATATTGAAAATTTAGAATCTTCAACAGGGCATAATTTTCCCAACTATGGTGTCCCCCCTGATCATCATTATGAAGGACCCGCTGGGGGTCATCCTTTTGCTCCTCCAGCTAGCCATGGCTACTTCCCTGCTTACGGCATGCCACCAATGGTGAACCCATCCGTTTCTAGCTCCAGGTGTGAACTAACGAACCCCTTCAACGAGCAAACAAACCCCTTCAGCGCGCACCACCAGAGCTCCAGTAATGTTCCAATCGAGAAGAAAGGAGCCGCAGTCCCGAATGTGGTCAAGTTTAAGGCTTCTAAAGATAGTGAGGTTCAAGTCAGTACAGCAAGCAGTCGAAGCGATAGAACACGAGGTCGAAACGCACTTCCTCTTTTTCCAACCTCTCCTCCCGCTCCGGCTCAGGCTCCATCTCCAGCACCGGAACCAACAGCTCCTACTGCGGCCCCGGCTCGATTTGAAGCAGCAGAACCGGCTCGTGTGATCAGAGTCGTGCCTCATAATGCACGGTCAGCAACCGCGTCTGTAGCACGGATATTTCAGTCGATACAGGAAGAAAGAAAGCAGTATGATTCGGGATAAGATGAAGATGGATTGGTGTTGTACTTTGTGCTTCTTTGATTGTAACTTTTGCCTAAATGTCTTGATTATGAAACACATTAGGAAGGTAAGATGTATGCATGCAAAGATTATGACATCAAGTGCCATTGTAAAAATGCTTGCTTTTATAATTATGGTTGTGTTGTAGGCCTTGTTTGGAAGCTGTACACAATGATGGAATTGAATATATATCAAAGCTTAAGCTTGCCAAGTGCTCTTTTTATTTTGATTTATAAAGATTTCTTCGTCTTTTTTTTCCCCTACTAAACTGTGGGTGTCCAGACCAGCTTGTATGTATATCCATTAATCTTATAAGCCCTGAAAGATATAACAGTCAGAAAAATCCTTACTGGGGTCGTTGAGGAGACTCGAACTGATGCTTATGAAGAAACGTCTCAAGACCTAGCCTTTATTTATCAGTTGAGCTGATCCTTAAAGTTTATTATCTTTCTGTTGTTTCTAGTTACAATAATCAGTTTTTTTTGTATCTGATAAATCTGATTATGATTTTTTGATTCATTAATGTCAAAATAATCATATATATTATAACAAAACTTTGTTACAATTGTTTATCTCATTATGATTTTGATTCTTAAATATCAGAAAATCTATAAGGTCAAGAGTTTAAATCTAACCAAAAATGAATTTATCTGACTATTTGCTGTATATTAATATTACTAGAAGGGTACTAACTCAATGCAACGAGATACATCTTGATTTTAATATTTCATTTTATTCTTTATCTCAATCGATGTTGTAGTATGATATTATGTGATTTTGAAAAAATGACAATGTTTTTATTTTTGAATAAAATTTAAATTTGAAAATATCATAAAAATTTGACAAAGGTATATCGATATTAATATCAAATTAACTATTTAAAATTTCTATTTTTTGTGTAATTTTTTAATTCAATTTTTTATTATAATTTAATTTAGGTTTAATAACGAAGTAATTTATATTTGGTTTAATAATATAATTTTTTTTATAAAGATAATAATTAATTATTTTGTTAGAACTCGATAATTATTCTAATTATATTTTTGATTTTTTATATTTTAAAATGAGATGTTTATTCTTTAATTGGTTATGTTTATCCACAGTTAGTTACACGAATTCAAACATAGAGCTTTAATAAGTTGTACTTATGTATAGTTTACTTGTAATCTTAAATTTTAAGTAATATGCATTAATATATAGTATTTCATGCATAAAAATGGTTTTTAAGAGTTTTTGTCAAATGTTTTATAATATAGTATAGATATACTTAGAAAATTATTAAACATAAAATTTGTAATAATTGAATCAGAATCTTTATGCATTATGTTATGGGTAAATTACATGAAAAGTTAACGTATTTTAATTTGACTTCTATTTTGAGTGGCGTACTTTCAAAAACTTTCATTTTGGTACCTAAGATGTAAAGTTTTAAACATTTAAGTACCCGGGTAACTGATTGAAGATTAATTTTAGATTAAAAAAATCTATGTCACTAACCACGTTAGCAAATAATACTGAGTTGGATACCACATCACTCGCCACATCAGCATGATAACCGGTTAATGCTTCAACCAGTTACCCGGGTACCTAAATATTTAAAACTTTACATCTTAGGTACCAAAATGAAAGTTCTGAAAGTACGTTACCCAAAAATAAAAATCGAATTAAAATACATTACTTTTTATGCAATTTACCCTTATATTATCTCAAAACTTACAAACTACAAGTTGAAAATAAGAATGTGAATTCCATGATTTAGAAGGTGAATCATGCATACTACATATAACAACACTTTATAATCCACTCTTCATTTTCCCTACTCACAAAAACTCACACTTTTGTGTTCCAAAAAGGTCCTCTCCCTCTTTCTTCCATGGGACTTAAGTGGGGGATAATTTTGTCATTTTGGGTATTTTTCTTTTGCTCCAACACTTTAGGCATCTCAAAAAGCATCTTGGTAAGTTTTACATATTTCAATATACTAAAAATATTTATGATACGAACCACATGGGGTGGTGTCTGATTGGTTTGAGCTTGACTTCAAAGGTCAAAAGTGCCTAGAGCTCTCAGGTTCAAATTCAAGAAAGAAAGAAAAAAACCCCCTTGTGGCCACGGAGGTTCAAATGCGGTGACTCCAGGCTACCTGCCAAAGCAGGTGGTCGTCCTGTGATTAGTCGGCTCGCACAGCGGGTTGGATATCCAGGTTAATAAAAAAAATGTTTATCATACGATAAACATCTGTATTAAGTTAACACTGTTAATCAGATATTATACAAGATCTGATTGACAATTATCATCAATTTATAGAGTGAAGACGGGGACATAATCGACTGTGTGGAGATCTACAAGCAACCGTCTCTTAACCATCCCGCTTTAAAGAATCATACCATCCAGCTAGCACCTACATTCTTTTCGAAAACGAGAAAAGTGTTTGACGATGCGAAAAAGGAAGACATCGCAATGACGATAACGTCACAACGATGGCAAAAAAGCGGAAGTTGTCCGAAAGGAACAGTCCCAATCCGAAGAACCCAAAAACGCAATCCAAACAAAGACGACTTTCACGCGTACGGGAGAAAGACAGCTAGTAATATGAAGAACGAAGTCGGGGATTTGAAGTACACGACAAACTCCACGAACTCCATCGCGAACCATTCGGTTTGTAAATTCGAAATATATTTTGTAAGGTTTATTTGCTTTGATTTATGTCTGATATGTATTTTGGTTACGAGCAGGTGGCGCTGATAGAGACAGTGGGATACAGTTACTCGGGGGCCAAAGTCGACATCAAAGTGTGGACTCCTTACGTTGAGAAGGAAGACGAATACAGTACCTCCCATGTCGCTATACAAAATGGCGGTCTTCATGATTTCGAACTCGTAGAAACGGGATGGGCTGTAAGTTTATCCAAACACTCAAAAGTGCTTATTACCGGTATCACACCGGAATAAGTCAATAAGTTATTTATATAAGCAATCTCAAACACCCCCTAACATTTGTGCATATAATCTATATTATATAATAAAACATTTGACAAAAACTCTTAAAAACCATTTTTTATGCATGAAGTATTGTTTATTGATGCATATTACTTAAAATTCAAAACTACAAGTGATTTTGCGTAAGTACAACTTATTAAAACTTCATTTTTAAATTTGTGTAACTAACTGCAGATAAACATAATCAAATACATGATAAACATCTATTTTAAATATAGAAAATCTAAAATATAATTAAGATAATCATTGAGTTTTAACCGAATGTTTAATTATTATCCTTTAATATAAATTATATTATTAAACCAAAAATAAATTACTTTGTTATTAGACCTAAATTAAATTATAATAAAAAAATCGTATTAAAGAAGTTACACAAAAAAACAAGAACTATTAAATAGTTAATTTAATACTAATATCGATTTTTTTTTAAATTTGTTATGCTATCTTCAAATTTATATTTCATTCAAAAATAAAAACATTATCGCTTTTTCAAAATCACATAAAATCGTATTATACCGGTAAAGACAAATAATAAAAACTAAACATTAAAATTGAGATTTATCTCGCTGCATTGAGCGAGTTCCCTTCTATTATAAACTAGAAGGGTACTCGCACAATGCAGCGAGATACATCTTCATTTTAATATTTCGTTTTATTTTTTTGTCTATATTGATATAATATGATTTATGTGGTTTTAAGAAATATAATGTTTTTACTTTTGGGTAAAAATAAATTTGAAAAAATATATCGATATTAATATAAAATTAACTATTCAAAGGTTCTCGTTTTTTTTACAATTTCTATAGTTCAATTTTTTATTATAATTTAATGTAGGTCAAATAGTGAAATAATTTATTTTTGACTTAATAATAAATTTTTTATAAAGATAATAATTCTGTTAGAACTTAATGATTATCCTAATTATATTTTAGATTTTTTTTAATACTTAAAATGGATGTTTATCCTATATATGAATATATTTATCTGCAGTTAGTTATACGAATTCAAAAATTAAGCTTTAATAAGTTATATCTATGCATAATTTACTTGTAACCTTAAATTTTAAGTAATATGCATTAATACACAGTACCTAATGCATAAAGAATGATTTTTAAGAGTTTTTGTCAAATACTTTATAATATAATATAGATATAGATTAATTTTGGTTTAATATTATAATTTTTTATAAAGATAATAATTAAACATTATGTTAGAAATCAATGATTATCTTAATTATATTTTATATTTTATAAATGTTATCTTATATTTGATTATGTTTATCGGCATTTATTTACACGAATTTAAAAATGAAGCTTTAATAAGTTGTACTTACGCAAAATTACTTGTAATCTTAAATTTTAAGTAATATGCATCAATAAACAATACTTCATTCATAAAAAATGGTTTTTAAGAGTTTTTGTCAAATGAATTATAATATAGTATAGATATGTTATAATAAGTTACCAGAACGAAGTTAGACGATCTAACAAATTCTATTGTTATTAAACAAACTATTTAAATTTTTTCAGGTAAATCCAAGCGTTTATGATGACCATCAAACTCGTTTATTTATTTATTGGACTGTAAGTTTCTCGACTCTCGTGAATTTCACTTTGATTTTTGTCAAAACTTGGGAAAAAGTAACGATTGTTCAACTATTTATGTTTGTTTCAAAATAACGTTGTTTTTTTTATAAAACAACAATTTTGCACTTGCAATGACTTTATTAAATATTAACTAGAAAGGTATTCGTATAATGCATCGAGTCACATCCCAATTTCAACGTTTCGTTTTATTCTTTATATATGTCGATATAATACGGTTTTATGTGGTTTTGAGAAAACGATAATGTTTTTATTTTTGAATGAAATATCATAAAATTTTGAAAAAAACTATATCGATATTAGTATCAAATTAACTATTTAAAAGTTCTTATTTTGTGCAATTTCTTTAATTCTATTTTTTATTATAATTTAATTTAACGTAGCGAAGTAATTTAATTTAGGTTTAATAATATAATTTTTTATAAAGATAATAATTAAGTATTTTGTTAGAATTCAATAATCTAATTATATTTTAGATATTTTATATTCAAAATTAGATGTTTATCATGTATTTGATTATATTTATCTGTAGTTAGTTACACAAATTCAAAAATCAAGCTTTAATAAGTTGTACTTACGCACAATTTACTTATAATCTTGAATTTTAAATAATATGCATCAATAAATAATACTTTGTGCATGAAAAATGGTTTTTAAGAATTTTTATCAAAATGTTTTATAATACTATAAGGATACTCGCACAATGCAGCGAAATAGATCTCGATTTTAGTGTTTCGTTTTTCTTGTCTTAGTCGATGTTATAATACGGTTTTATGTGGTTTTGAGAAAGCAATAATGTTTTTATTTTTTGAATAAGATATAAATATGAAGATATTATAAAATTAAAAAAATATTGATATTAGTATCAGACTAACTATTTAAAATTTCTCGTTTTTTGTGTGCTTTTTTAATTCATTTTTTTTATTTTTGATTTAATAATATAATTTTTTTATAAAGATAATAATTAAGTGTTTTGTTAAAACTCAATAATGATCCTAATTATATTTTAGTTTATTTATATTTAAAAATGAGATGTTTATCCTCTATTTGATTATGTTATCTAAAGTTAGTTACACGAATTCAAACATAGAGCTTTAATAAGTTGTACTTACACACAATTTACTTGTAATCTTGAATTTTAAGTAATATATCTATATCTATACTATATTATAAAGCATGTAACAAAAACTCTTAAGAACCATTTTTAAGCATGACATACTGTTTATTGATGTATATTACTTAAAATTCAAGATTACAAGTAAATTGTGCGTAAATACAACTTATTAAAGCTTCATGTTTGAATTCGTGCAACTAACTGCAGATAAACATAATCAAATAGAAGATAAATATCTTCTTTTATATATATATATATATATATATATATATATAAACTATAATTTGGATAATCATTGAGTTCTAACAAAGTACTTAATTATTATCTTTATAGAAAATTATATTATTAAATCAAAAATTAAAAAAAAGTTGAAGAAATACACAAAAAATGAGAAATTTTAAATAATTAGTTTGGTACTAATATCAATAACTTTTTTTTTATTTTTTTATAATATATCTTCTTATTTATATTTTATTAAAAAATAAAAATATTAACGTTTTCTCAAAACCACATAAAATTGTATTATAACATCAACCAAGACAAAAAAAATGAAACATTAAAATAAAAATGTATTTTGTTGTATTGTGCGAGTACCCTTCTAGTTATGTTATAAAACATTTGACAAAAACTCTTAAAAACCATTTTTTATGCATGAAATACTGTTTATTGATGCATATTTACTTAAAATTCAAGATTACAAGTAATTTTACGTAAGTACAATTTATTAAAGCTCAATTTTTAAATTCATGAAACTAACTGCAGATAAACATAATTAAATATAGGATAAAAATTCATTTTAAATGTATAAAATCTAAAATATAATTAAGATAATCATTGAGTTCTAACAAAATGTTTAATTATTATCTTTATAAAAAATTATATTATTAAAACAAAAATAAGAAAATGAATTAAAGAAATACACAAAAAAAAAAAAATTTAAATACTTAGTTTGGTTCTAACATAAATATTTTTTTTTCAATTTTTTATGATATATCTTCGTATTAATATTTTATTCAAAATGAAAACATTATCGCTTTCTCAAAACCACTTTAAAACTATATTATAACATCGACTGAGACAAAAAAAAAATGAAACATTAAAATCGAGATGTATCTCGTTGCATTGTGCGTGTACCCTTCTAGTATCAATAAATAGTATTTTGTACATAAAAAAATATTTTTAAGAGTTTTTATCAAAATATTTTATAACATAGCATATACTAACAATATTAATACTATTATGAAATAGGCTGATGGATCGAAGAGGACGGGGTGCTTTGACCTGACTTGTCCAGGGTTCGTTCAAGTGAACCATGAGATCGCTCTTGGTGGGGCCATTTATCCCATCTCTAACCCTAACGGGCTTCCGTACCAAATCACGGTTTACATTTTTAAGGTTCATAAACTTACATCTTTTACTTCTAGAAACTTCTTTCTTTTTATGCTAATGTGGCAAGTAATGTGATATCCAACTCAATATTATTTGTTGAAATATTAACTGGATATCACATCACTCGCCACATTAACATGGTAACCGGTTAATGCTTCAACCGGTTACTCAGATACTTAAATGTCTAAAACTTTACATCTTAAGTACCAAAATAAAAGTTTTAAAAGTACGTGACCTGAAATAAGAATCAAGTTAAAGTACATTGTTTTTTCATGCAATTTGCCAATTTACATTTCTCTTAAAATACAATTTTTATGCCAAAAATTTGTCAACCATGCTGATGTGACGAGTAATGAAATAAATATTTATCTGTATCTATTATATATATATATTTCTTGTACTTCAAATAGGATCCAACGACAAAGAATTGGTGGGTGAATTATGGTGAGTCAATCAACATAGGGTATTGGCCCGGTGAGCTCTTCATGTTGTTGAAGTACCAAGGGATCATGGTCAAGTGGGGTGGTGAGGTCTATAGCTCGAAGGTCAAGACTCATCCCGGCCACACCGCCACAGGCATGGGAAGCGGCAATACGCCGCCGTCCATTTTCGAGAACTGTGGGACCATGAAACGCATGCGAGTTGAACAGAATTCACAGCCTTTGATGATCCCTGAATGGTCCACCACCGTTGTTGATGAGTATCGTTGCTACGGAGCTTTATACGAGGTTGATTACATTCCTGATCCTATATTTTATTACGGTGGGCCCGGTAGAAGCCCGTGGTGCCCGTAGGGTTTTATGATTTTGATCGTTTAGTGGTTTGTAGGTTTTTGGATTGTCAAACTAATATTTTAATTCCTCTGATTTTCTATTTTCTTTGATTTTCTTTGATTCTTACTTCTTTCTGCACCAAGGACGTCACCGTTCTTTCATCACCCATGTGAAATGCATGCCTCCACTCTCTCTCTCTCTCTCTCTCTCTCTCTCTATATATATATATATATATAATGTTTGTATGCATAGGTTATCTTAGAAGATTAATATAAAACAAAAACTTCTCAGTTCATTGTTTTTCCAATAATCAAATTTATAATAACCACAAGGGTGGTGTCTGATTGGTTTGAGTTTGACTCCAAAGGTAGGTTCAAATCCAAGGAGGAATAAAAATCCCCTTGTGGCCAAGGAGGTTCAAATGCGGTGACTCCAGGCTATCTGCAATAGCTCTGGAATTAATCGGCTCGCATAGCGGGTTGGATATCCAGGTTAATAAAAGAAAATGATTTCAAACTATCAAGAATTTGGGATTCTTAAGATTTCATTTATGGAGTGAGATTGTCATTTGCAAACATCATCAGCAACAAGGGCGGAGACAGCGAATAAGGGGGGAAGCCTGTCAAAAAGTTAATTTTTTTTATCTAGGTTAATTTATTTTTTTACAGAATTTACTTTCACTTTTTCCAGTATAATTTTTCACGAGACCCCGGTCTATAAAATACCTGGATCCACCATTGATTAGCAACTTGAAAAAGGGAGAAGAATCCATTTTTCTTGTTGTTCTTCATCGTCTTCATCACCTCTGTTTCATCTCTTCCTTCACATTCACAAGATAATTTTTATCCGGTCTGTTGCCAGAAAACGTCGGACGTCTTAAAAAACTCCAAACTTTCCAAATTTCAAGCACCAATCTCTCCGGTAAAATACCCAATTCTATCTGCGATATATCCTCTAGCAAAAGTATCGATCTTTCCACAAACAAACTCATCTGGCGACGTTCCCGATAGCATAGCAAGTCTGAAAGGTATACAAAAGGTTCTTACTATGTTCCATCTGTTAAGCAATTGTTGAGATGCTTTCTGGCAATGAAAATTTTATGAAAATCAAGAATTTTGCAAAATGTTTGCATTTGATTTTACAAAAACAAACTATTGATTCAGATTTCAGACTACAGACGTTTGTCAGTTTACAAAAAACAAACAGTTTTATTGAATCAAATTTCAGCATCACCTCTTATTAATCAGAAATGAAATAGAACTTCAGATTTCAACACCTCTTACAAAAACAAACGCCATCTAAATCACGCCTCAATACTATTTATAACTTCAATGTTGGTCAAGAAAAAAGGTATATAACATATCTACGAATCGTAACGATTAATCCAATCAAGCTATCAGTAAGCAAATTGACTCTTTTTTTGTTTATGAATTAGAGTAATTTTATACATTTGTTCAGCATGGATGTTTCAATCTTTTTGGAGGTCCTGTTATATATAAAACTTTTGATTACACTGTAAAATAAGATAATAAAGATACATATATACAAATTACAGAGGCGATGAGACGTATTCATTTTTTCTTCTAATAGAAATTAGAGAAGCACTGATATGAAACACCAGTTTTACATTTGTTAATAAAAGGCTCTAAACAATATAAAATCGAAACCTTGTTCAAAATTACACATTTAACATGTTAAAAAATGACATTACTGTTCTGCTTGTTGTGTAATATGTTTAGAATTAAATTTTTGATTTTTCAAGGAGCTTTTCAAAAATATTTTATTCTCGTTTTATAATAAATGCTAAATTCCACAACATCGTGTAAATACACAACTAGTTCAAACATTCTGCCTTTGATACATGGACCAGACATAACAGGACAAAACTCACTGTTCCGTTTTTGACGTAACATATGACGATGACAAAATTTCATTGTTCTATGTTTGGGACGATATGGACAGAAGCTGAGTGAGACAAAAAATATTTTTTGTGCCACCAAAACTCACCATGACAGCCGCCACCACTGTCCATCATCTCCATGTCCTCCACAACCACCACCACCTCTACCACCACCACCACCACCACCGCCAACCACCTCTGTCACAAACATCACCTCCTATTCCACCACCACCGGTAACCACCATATAAAATCACTAAATAACATTTAGGAATAATTTGTCCCGTGCTATTCATGTTAAATACCATATAAACAAATTGTGATATTCAATTGCGTTTTAGCATTTGTTCGCCAAATGCTTACCAGATAAGCATTTACCAAGTCACATTACCTAACTAAATGAATATGGTAAGAATAAAAAATCTTACCCGATTCAATTTCAGACATACACAACAATTATGGCCACTGAGTTTATCATAATTGATTTTTGCAATCACACTATCACAATTTTCCGAAATTAGTCAAGGCCATGCTTTAGACACCTTTCCAAAAGAAAATAGCGATTACAAGGACAAAAATTCTTATCCACCAAGTAAAGACGACGACGACGACTTTTATCCGGTTAACACTTACTAGGTAGATTGTTACATATAACACTATTTTAATGAATTAAACTCTTTTATAATACGACAAATGATAACATTGAATTTTATCCGTCAACGTCGAAATACACCGTAGTGGGAATTTAAAAGAAAAACGAAGGCAACAAGGAAAGTGGGATGGGGGGCGGAATTTATCAAGAAATCTTGAAACGTGAGAGAGATGGCAAGAGACCACATTCCTTGGATCTCTTCGCCCCTCCCCCTTCTTTCACGCTTCCTTCCTCTTGTTTTCTCCCATTCTCCTGGACTCCTGTCTCTCTCACTTTCGAACCACAAGAAAATTCAAGAAACCTTCCATCTTTCATGTCTCCACACCCCCAAAAATGGAAACCCCAATCACTTCAAGTTTCTTGAGATTTCAGGGTGCAAACAAGGGGGTTTTAATGGTGGGTTTCTAGAAAGTCTTGATCTTTATGCTTCGTTAAGCAAAACCCATCATTCCCATATCATCAAATCCAAAACCCACTTCGCTTTTGGCCTCAAAGTGTCTGAATCACGAAAAGGGATTCAAAAGTGAGCTTAATACAACATACCCACAATTCAAAATTTCTGATTCGATGGAGGAAGCTAAAGACTTCCCAAATGCTACAGTTGTAGTGAGACCAAACCAGTCTAGGGGGTTTCCACACAGATTGATGCACTTGCTTATCTTGTTTCTAGTTTTATGTTTCTCGATTTCTTTGTTTGTTATCTGCACGGTTCGAAAAACCGGAGTCGCCACAGCCGTGGCTCCACGGGTTTCCGTTTCACAACCATGTGTTGAAGAACAGCCAAAGACTGGTCTTGATCATTGGATCAAGTCTCCTTCCAGTTTGTTGCATACAATGAGCGATGAACAGCTCTTTTGGAGGGCTTCTTTTATGCCACAATTGAAGTCGTATCCGTTTACTAGAACGCCGAAGATCGCGTTTATGTTCTTGACAAAAGGCCCATTGCCGTTGGCTCCATTGTGGGAGAGGTTCTTGAAGGGACATGAAGGTCTTTATTCGATCTACGTTCATTCACTTCCGGCATATCATGCTAATTTTCCACGGACGTCCGTGTTTCATGGGAGACAGATACCAAGTCAGGTACCCTTTTTAATCTTGTTATTTCCTTTGTTTTTCAAGTCATCTTGTTTTTGGTTCTCGAAACGAAATTTGTTGAAGGAATTTGATTGTGATGGAATTGGAATGGAATGTTAGTAGGTTTGACCATGTAGTTGGTTGGTTGTGAGACATTAGAATGGAATCTCTTAAAAGGAATTCAAATCCTATCTATTTAATTCACATAAAATAACTTTCGAATTTGAAAAAATATTGGTAAAGGATCAAAATACCCATTTTTTAAAATTTTGAAATTGAAATCCAACAACTGTGATTTGGATCATTGGCGGTCGGCGGTGGTCGAGATCGGCAGTAGTCGACGTTGGTCGGCAGTGGTTCAGATCGACGGTGGTCGACACTGGTTCAACTTGGTGATAGTTGGCGGTGGATTAGATCGTTGGTGGTCGGCGATGGTTCAAATCGACGGTGGTTGAGATTGGTGGTCATCGGTGACGGTTTAGATCATTGGTGGTCATCGGTGACGGTTCAGATCATTGGTGGTTGACGGCGGTTTAGATCGGTGGTTTGCGATGACTGGTGGTGGTCTGTGATGACCGATGGTGGTTCATATAAAGGAGGGAAGATGGGGGATAATTTTGTCTTTTCGAGAAAATGGGATGAAATGAAATTGAATTCCCTCCAATTGTGATGGAATGACCAAATCTATAAATGGTGGAATGTGTAGAATTCAATTCCATTTCGTAGGTAAACCGAACGCTTAAATGAAATTTGGTCAATGAAATTAATCTTTTCAATTCCTTTGAATTCCGTCGGAATCCTGCGAACCAAAAACCCCACTTAGGGTTTTAATTTGACAATAGTTTAGTAAGAGCATCTACAACAACTTTTTTATAATTTTCTAAAATAGAGAATTAAAACATAAAATTCTAAAAAAACTTGCATTTATCTCCAACAGATTCTCTATCTTAGAGATTTTTACATAAATTATATTATTATAGTATACTTTAATTTATTATCCCAATACACTTTTTATTAAAAAAAATAGTAATTCAGTCTGATCAGTGGAATTGAATAAAATAATCATTTCTCTCTCTCAACATCAAGTGTTAGAGAATTCTCTATATTTAGAGTTTTCTCCATGATTCTCAATCTTAGAGAACAAGATAGCAAAGCTGTTGGAGCATTTTAATGAACAAAACCTCACTTTTTTCTATTTTAGAAAAGCTGTTGGAGATGCTCTAAATTACCAATATTGTTTTATTTTCTTGATTTTTGTTCCATCTATTTTGGTGGCACAAAAAATGGTGTTGCTATATACACTCATATTTATGTTATAATCAGATCAAATTATACGTTAAAAATATAAAAAGTAAGTCAAGATAAGAAAATTAATAGGTAGGGATGCATTTAACCTACCCGTCAAAAAATTGCATTTCCTATCCAACTTCATACATGTCTTGTCCCGATGTATGTTGTGCCAAACGTATGACTAGTTTTTATATTCTCGTCTACCAAACGGAGTGCGTATGGTACCATTCTTATATCAAATCCCTTTTTTGGACGAGCGGGAGTTATAGGTTTTAATTTGACATGGGTAGTGTAGTAATTTACCAATATTGTCCTGTTTCCCAGGATTTTAGTACTTCCTATTTTGATGTGACGGAAAAAAAAAATTTGATCCCACTTTAGTCATGTCTTGTCCCGGTCTAATGTATGTTGCCTCGTACGTGGGATTTTTTTTGTTGTTGTCTTTCTAGATAGAAATGTATTGTTGTTTACCTTTTTTCTTGAATCAATAATCTGAATGACGTAAATGACCAATCTACCCTTAGTCTACTAGTCTTGGCCTCCCATTTTAACCCTGATTAAAGTTAACTACTGAGCTTGTTTAGTTTAGTTTACTCTGTTCTCTAGTGGTAACCGTAGTTATTTCACCCTTTGTACTTTGTTCGAATTATTTTGCTTAAAGTTTATACTCGTGTGTTGCAAATCTCGTCCAAAACCTTTAACGGATCTTGACCTTTTGATGCACAGAAAGCGGAATGGGGTCGAGTGAGTATGTGTGATGCTGAGAGACGACTCCTAGCGAACGTCCTTCTCGATATCTCGAACGAATATTTTGTTCTCGTATCCGAATCGTGCATTCCCCTTTACAACTTCACGCTAACCTATAATTACATAACAAACTCCAATCACAGCTTCATGGGAGCCTTCGATGACAAGGGGCCCGTCGGCCGCGGCCGCTACAACAATAAAATGTTGCCGGAAGTCGACATCTCTCAATGGAGAAAAGGATCCCAATGGTTTGAAGTCGACCGGAAACTCGCAACCATTATTGTCTCCGATGTGACTTATTATCCGAAATTCAAAGAGTTTTGCAGGCCAGCTTGTTACGTGGATGAACATTATTTCCCAACCATGTTGACGATACAGGCTTCGGATTCGATCGCGAACCGGAGCTTGACTTGGGTTGATTGGTCGAGAGGTGGGCCCCACCCCGCAACATTTGGGAAGTCCGATATAACGGAGAAATTCATGAAGAAACTTCAAGATATGCACAACTGTGATTATAACGGAAAACCGGCTTCCGTTTGTTATCTTTTCGCGAGGAAATTTTCGCCGGGAACTTTGCAACCGTTGTTTCTTCTTGCTCCTAAATATTTGGGCTATTGAGACAAAAAATATTGAAAGTTGGGGGGTTTGAGAGAAGAATAAAAGTTGGAGGGGTGGAAGGCAAACTTACTGAATATGGACGTTCTTACGAGCGTTTTTCTTTTCAAAACAGAGGAATTTTCGATATATTTAGGTATATAACTTTAAATCCCAGTCACCGGTTTTGTGGGGAATCCCGATCAGAATAGGTCTCATTCCCATTTTTTTAAATAGGTTAGGAGATTATAAATTTAATTAAAATACTGTTATTTTAGGCTATTGTTGTATGGTGAATATGAAAACTATTAACATTCAATAAAAGCTATGGCTATTTTTTTTTTATTAACCTGGATATCTAACCCGCTATGCGAGCCGACTAATTTCAGGATAACCACCTGCTTTGCAGATAGCCCGGAGTCACCATATTTGAACCTCCGTGGTCACAAGAGGATTTTTATTCCTCCTTTGATTTGAATCTAAGACCTCCTGGTACTTTTGGCATTTGGAGTCAAGCTCAAACCAATCAGGCAACACCCTTGTGGTTAGCTATGGCTATTTAGGTAAATGATATTTGATGAAACTGTTTTTTTTAATTATTATTTATTATAAATTAGAAGTTGTTTTATATAGGATGTGAATATTTGAGAAGGATTATTCGAAGATTATGGAGTTAGTTTTTTTTAAATCATTTAAGTAAGGAGTCGTTTACAAAACTGAAGTGTTTATTGGGTGTTAATTACCTTATCAGTGTGTATGTTAAGGAACGAGAATCTTATCCAGTAAGATGCATCGTAACAATCGAGAATCTTACCTGAAAAATGCTTATCAGGTAAAAGATGCTTAGCACATTCAATTTTGACGGTCGAAAATGTTTCCCAATAAAAATTAAACATGATCAGGGTGGAGATCTCCATTCCTCAAACGATCCTTCACCAGTTTACCATTTTCTCTCAAATTATTATCTGGTTATGAAAAGTAACGTATAAAATCTTTTTTGCATTATTTGCATTTCAATACGACTTAAAATAGTCGGGACGTACATAGAGAGGAGGGGGTGTACAAGTACACGTGAATATTAGGGCCTGAAAAGTGTATCCGCTTTATTTCTTATGTGCCCTTGTATATTATGAAACTAAACTAAAGACACAATTTTGTGGTAGATTTCTTGCACCTCAACTAATCCACCTTCAAGATAACAGTTAGAAAAATCTACAGTAACCTTGAGGAGACTCGAACTGGCCTACCATTTAATAGCCAATTGAGCTGGCCCTCACGGTTTCTGGGTGGTATACTTGCAGAAACAAGACGGAAGACACAAAGCTGAGTTTCAACTTTTTGAACGCGTAAACACTACGATTGATTTCTACATACAGATGCAGGTACATGGTTTGCATAATAACCATTATGGCATCATCACATACAAATGATGATGATGGTATATAACAAGTTTCGTGGCGGACCTAAGTACTAGAAGGAGAAGCTTCAGGCTCTATATACAAGAAGCTAATATATATAATATATATATATATATGTATATTGTTAAGGGGCCGATTGGGAAACCACAAATATACGATATCTGGACAATGTAAGCATACGGGTCCACCAGTCTTTGAGGAATCAACAACATTATGCGGTGAAACCGTTGCTGATTGAGCTCCACGGGTTTGAGGGGAAGGTGGTGCACGCTTGTGATGATGCAGCCGCCATCTGTTCGTTTGTGATTCCTTCGTTACACAGGTTAGCGATGGATCGCATGTGTTTCATGCCGTACTGTGATAAGGATCCGCAGTGTGTCTCAAATGTCCTCACCTGTATGTACAAGAGGACCAAAATTAAGAAAATTTCATAGTTTCCAAATTAAGAAAGTATAGTCTCTTTTCTTTTCAGACATTGATTTTTGTGAGATTCAGGCCTTCTGCTGAATCTTCACAACTGTATTAGAAATGTGTTATTGTTACACTTTTTAATTAACTAAATTACTATTTTACCTTAACAACGAGTGTAGAATGGGAAAGTTAAATATTTACTTTTGAAAGTGGAAACTTATTTTAAGGCAAAGTAAAATAGAAATGTGAACGCTTATTTTGAGAGGACGGAGTAACTCATGCCATTCAGAAGTCGAATGGTAAACTTTTATGGGATGGAGTAATATTAACTAGGGGGAAGTTTATTCAGGAACTGTAAATACTTTGATAACCGTGAACCCTTCCTTCAGCTGGGCATCAGGGAGGCTGGGATCTACCGATAAGAGGGAAGATCAAAAAACTAACCAATGTTTTAAGGCGGGCCCAGTCGTCGACCAGAGGCCTCCCTGCAGGTCGGACGGCATTTAGCACCTGAGGACCCTTCTCCAATCCAAACAAAAGCTTGCCAATGAGTTGTATACTGCTGTCTATGTGCATTCTATGAGACATGGCTTCAGCAAACTTTTTCTGAGCTTCAGTTTTGGTCTCAGATCCTTCTGGAGCCTTCCGGTACTGTCAGAAAACGAAGATATCAGTGAGGTGAAGTGGTGAACCATGAAGGAAGAAAGAAAGAAGAAATTAAGAGAACAAACCTTATGCCAGAAATGTAGAAGATCAGCATCACGCTGGTTAACAGCTTTTGCTGGTCGCTGTAGGGAGTCTTCATCAACGAAAGTGAAGTTATCATTTGCTGGATTGGTACCCATATACAAGTAGAGGTTATCTTTGCTAAGCGGCAAGTCCCCGTATTGCATCACATGGGATCCATAATAAGAGTTGTCACTTGAGGTTCTTTCCTTAACCTGCACAAACCAATGACACATAAGTGTCGAAGAGAATTTTTATTTTCGATTCTAAACTGTCTTTCTTCCGTAATGTTAACCAAGCATTGGAAAGATGATGCAAAATGTCAAGTTGGTCGTTAGTTCTTACCAGTTTATATTGCTGTTTGATAGTTTCTGTTCGCAGGTTGTGTACATCACTGTAAGGAAGAATAGAATGAATTCAAAACGATAGGGGATATGACTCACTTGAAATGAGATTAAGAGCTTGAATATCATATTAAAATAAAAATTATTCAATATGCCTAAAAGAAGACCAAGGAAATGGAAAAAGATGAGCTGTGTGGATTAATCTCACCCTAATCGGTCTGAGCAAATAAGAGACTGTCTGAACCAATAAGCCACAAACAAACAGTCATGTATGGCTTACCAAATAACTGGTACATGCCTTTAAGCCCATTTAAGCCAATAGCGAACAGCCCCTAAAAGACGTCTAATAATTGCATAATATTGTCAAATTACAACTAAAACGACATTTAGTAGTTCCTAGTAACTAATCCAAGCCAAGTTGTTCTTGAATTAAAGAACATAAATCTGTATGAACATGAGTAGCCAATTTTCTTTCCTTCTAATACGGATAAAGGGTATTATAAGAATTTGAACATACCAATCTTCCATCCAGGCAACACTATACAAGTCACCCAAACATGTGTCGTACTCGAGGGGTGGGCTAGGATACTCCCCAGGACAATAAGTACCCCAGCTGCTCTCATCTGGGCCAGAGGCAGTGGTTGCGTAGATATTTAAACCTTGAGGAAGAAGACCCTCGAATATACTTCCAGCCTCACAAGCTTCAAGATAAAATACCTGTGGATATCATATGTGGTTTCCAAAATCAGCATTAATATGTAAAGTACAGGCATCAGAAGGAAAAGAAAAACAAAGAAACTACCAAGCTTTTGTATGTTCCAGAAGCATGCTTTTGTTTCAAAACCGCATTAAGATCATCAGCATACAGGTATGGATTTGTCGGCATCCCTGAGAACATTTACAACATGACCATAATTGTCAGTCATATTAACTAAAACCAAAACAAACAAAATGGACCTAGTAAATCCCACACAGAGGTAGAGGGTATAGGGAGGGTAAGACGTAGAGAGGCTGCATCCATGGAGACCCCCCGGGCTTGCAGAACAAATAGATCAAAAAGCAAGTAAGAAACAGGTGAAAGCGTATGCACAAGAAAATAGACAATCCAATTCTTTGCATTTTATGAAGGACATGCCGGTTGCTATTATTATACATAGAGGGTGGGTCCGGTGGGAGATCCCGTTGGAGGTGTCAAGCCAAGTGACTGCAAAAGATCATAAGCCACAGTTCGCAAGCAATTGAAATTTCTCACATTCCCCGGCATCACAAATTATTGAAGCAGAAGCTGAATTTTGTTTCGCATATGACAAACATTAATAACTCAATTCTTAAGTTGCTAAAATATAGAACTAAGAGATTGCAAAGAATTTGAGAACATTAAATATTTGCATACATGGGAATATTTCATATATCAACCCTTTTATTATCTGGAGTCATGGAATTAAGAACAAAAAGAAATTTTGCATATTTATTCAAATTAAAAAAAAAACGATAACCCAAAAATCTAAAGGGTAAACAGAAACAAACATGGCAGCTTACCAAGCACACCAGGACCACCATGGTCAGTGTAGTAAATGAAAATACGATCATTCGGACCACTATTCACAACCTTCCCGCTTCCCCCTTTAACTGCAGTTTTATTTCCAAGTAAAACAGCAAAAAAGTTGTCAACATTGACATCTTTCCCAGTGTAATCCTGTTTCAAGCAATGTGGCACATCAGTAAAAAAAGATTCACTCCTTGTCTCCTTGATCTAAAAAAGGCAATTTAACAAGTCACAATAGGATATAATGAATGGCTGATAATGGAGCACAAACCTTTGGCACTCCTTGATATACATCATCACCATCTGGGCTGTTAATAATGACTCCTTGCCTGGGATTCTCTCGATTATATGCAATGTCGTCATACATGAAAACAACAATGTTTTCCTCCTTGACACCACCATTTTTCAAAATTTGAAATGCATGACAAACATCTGCCTGGAGAAAACAATGAATGGCACTTCAATATATTTTGTCACAATTAAGAACAGAGGAAACAACGAGTTGCTCTTAGCTAGATCGTTTATCGTAATCCAGGAATTGCTAAAAGTAATCATTATGGAAGAGCAGATTTGGTCAAATGTTCATCAATATTGTGATTATGTCATCAAGATTATAAACCCAAAATCTGTTATGTCTTGACCCTTGTAGCAGGTGTGACCGTTGACTTTGCTAACTTAATTAGCTCAAATTGAAGCTTCATTTAGCCGAAATGAGATATACACCAACTCAAACAAAATAGGTCCTCATGAGGAAAACGAGGCTGACTGTTAACCGCATCAATTAAGACCAGTAGAAACAACAGTGATGAGTAATTACCTACTCTAGCTGATAAATGCACAAAGGGATCAGTTGAAACTTATACTTTCTAAAGGACAAAGATGGAAAGAAAGTGAAAGCTTAATGACGTGACCCTTATCCACAAAATAACAAGCCAACTTTCTTACACCACATACAAACAAAGCAAGAATTTGAAATATATTTCATTGATCATTTATATAAGTTCACTTCTTTGTTGAAAGCAAAATAAAGAGTTCTTTGACAAATTAAGTGATGTGCCACTTGAAGAGTTGAAGTTGCCTACAAGTACTTCAGCCACTTAAGATTACTAGTTGTAAGAATGAATTCATTTCAAGATTTAGTGATTTTATCTAGTAATTTGCTTTTGTAAAATATGGGAAACTGGCCAAAATAGTCGATCCCCCCTCCTCTTCGCTTTATAGCTACCTTTTCAACTTCGTGATTGATCTAGACGTGTGATTACGCAAATAGCACTTACCCAACTTGTGTAACCCACTTTTTTCAATATAATATTCAGAAAAAGTAGAAATTATACAAGTTGCATAGATCTACACATTTGACACTCCTCACGTAGCAGTTACACAAGTCTACTTTTTATGCATAATTGAATATTATATAATAAAAAATGGGTTACACAAGTTGCATAAGTATCACTTGCTTAATCTCGACTATTTCGATTTGAAAAAGTGGCTAAAAAGTGAGTGGGAGGTTGTCAGGTTGGCTATTCTTCGACAATTTTCGGTAAGATTTTCATAGCCAATTATTCGTCCCAAGATTAAGAGATACAAATTTTCAAATGGCTCTATAATCAAACCATGTTTAAATTACAGAGACTAATAATCTGCTAGCATATAGACAAAGTTAACAACAATTTACTTCCTGGATCCCAACAAAAAACTTTCTGTTTTGTCATTATAACCTCTATCAAGTACAAACAAAATACATAAACAGACAAAACAAAACATACTTGAAGTAGAATCTTCAACGCCCACCGGCCAACCATAGAATATATAGTAAAAGAATTAATTGCAGATGAACTAAGCTTTCAAAAGTGAATTAAATTCATCCTCAAAAATGAATACCCTAACCTTGCTTATACACAGCTCCTCCAAGACCATAGACGAAACAAAACTTTAACTGAATCCGTACAAAAAGCGCTACAACTTAATTTTTAAGCAAACTCGAAATCCTGAATGTTTCCCATAGACAAAATTGATACCGTATGATCCATATCGATTCGGTAACAAATTTAACACTAGCATCATCCTGTTTTTCGTATTTGTTAATATAACTCGAAAATTTTCTCATGGATTTTGACTCAAAGTGTATAGCTCTTTGAAACCGATACAATTGTACAAAATATTAACAAACGATGACGACAAATTGATCGTAATCTACCAGAGAAAAGTACCAACAATAATTCAAAATCAAGCAATTGATATCTTTACTGTAATGCTCACCTGATGCCTGTAGTTCCAGTAACCGTTAGATCCGGCAAGCAAGATGGCCCATCTGGTGCCAACGGAGTCGTCTTTTCCGGCGTCGAAGAAGTCATGCTTTTCCGACGGCAACCGGATAAGGTCATCAGCCAATTCACGGCCATGGACTACTGTGATGATGGAGAGAGCTAGTAGAACGATTACGTAACGAATCATTTTGATCGTCATCGGAGAGAATATACTTTAAAAGGTCAGTAATGTTCTTCAGGGATGAGACCTGAGGGTGTATATATAGATATATGGACGCAACTGTACCCAATCAGAACTCTACTAAAGTCTGGCGGCTAAATGTACAAGCTCTCAATGCACTAGGTACAACCTCTATATTTGTTTTACGTAATATAGGAGCCTAGAAGGGTGGTATATATTTTAAAATTCTTATAAAGTCCTTTAACTTTTGTTTTGTGACAATCTGGTCCCTCAATATGTCAAAGTGAAATTTATGAAGCATGGGGTCACCTTGAATATTCCTAAGACCTACATGACTGAAGAAATTAAAAAAAAAAACATGATATTTAATTTCTTTTTATCATTTAATAAATTTTGATTAATAATTAATCAAATAAATAAAATAATTATTAATAAATTTAAACTAAGAAAACTTGAAATCATTAATGAGAAAATACACAAATTGACAAATAAACATTTTTTTTAAGTATATAATAAAAATTGATAAAAACAATTTATTAAATATTATATAGTGCTTATTGATTATAAATATATAAAAATTCAAGTTTGCAATAATTATAGTTGTATAAAACTTATTAAATCTCTATATTAAAATTTTATAAAATCAACAGATAAACATTTTTAAGTACAAGATAATTGTTAAACCCATGTTAATATGACCAGGGACGTTTCAATATTTTTGGAGGTCCTGTTACACCTAAAACTTTTGATTACACCACAGAATGAGATAACAAAAATACATATATACAAATTACAAAAGTGAGATAAGGCAACCATAAGGGTGGTGTCTGATTGGTTTGAGCTTGGCTCCAAAGGTCAAAAGTATCAAGAGGTCCTAGGTCCAAATCCAAGAAGAAATAAAAATCTTGTTGTGGCCTGGGGTGACTCTGAACTATCTGTAAAGCAGATGGTCGTCCTGGAATTAGTCGGCTCACATAGCGGGTTGGATATCTAAGTTAATAAAAAAAAGTGAGATAAGGCGTATTATTTTTGTTTTTTGATAGAAATTAAAGTGGCACTGAGGGTAGGCTATAGTTTTTACATTCGTTGATAAATGACCCTAAACAATGTAAAATTGAGCCCCAAAATTTTAGGAGTCATGTTTAAAATCACACATTTAACATGTTAAAGAATGACTCTGAATACGACAAAACACTATAGAAATTTTGAATTTTTTTAATTAAAATTGTATTTAATTTTCATTCTTGATTTACCGTTCAATTTTTTATATCATGTTGAATTGCACGGATCCACAACTAGTCTACTATTACGATTCACGTTAGAGAGACTTTCAAGAACTGAATTGTCATTAGGAAAAAAGAAAAGGGGCTAAAATGTCATAAAATCAAAGATGAAGGGGCTGATAAGGAACATGTCTGACCATACTCCCACAGATTTGCTTTCCAATGATGTAGAGGTCCGGGCGATTCAGGTCCGTAAATGGATGAGATATTTTAAAACGTCGTCGTAGGCCCCACCTCAAGTGGTTGCTTATACATATTATATTGTAAATGGATGAGATATTTAAAAAAATATATATGTTTTTAAATGATCGTATATTCATTTTCGTTACGGAATCGAATTAAAAAGCCAAACATTCGTCTTTAGCATGAGACGGGACGGAATAAAAAAAAATAGTCTCATATTTAGCATGTTATAGACAAAAAAGCATAGGACAAGATGAAACTATTTTTAATTTTCATGTGACAAATCTTGAGATTTTTTGTTCCGCCAAAAAAGATGGAACAACATGGGACAAATATAAAATAGTCCATTCTTCCTCCATTTCAGGTATGTTCTCTACCTTTCAAAATTACTTTTATACCCTCAAATTATAAAATTACTTTTATACCCTCAAAGTATAATATATTTTGGTTGATTTGTTGTCATTTACAATCATTATATGATATAAAAATAACATGGAACAATATTTAGGGGTAATATGATCATTTTAACAGTTTTGTCTCGTCATGTCATGTCATGTCATAGTCGTATATCTTAACAATATGACTTGTTTTTAAAGAAGTTTTTCGTATTTAATTAGTTTTTACTTTATAGAACTTTATAAAAGTTTTGTATTTAACTAGTTTTATTTATTAATATAATTAAAGTAATCATATTTAAATAAACTCATTAAATAAATATTGTAAAATAAATACATAATTAAAGTATTATATATTTTTGTATAATTAAATTAATGTCTCAAATTTGACATATTTTAATACAATTTTTACACATTTATTAGTAATCCAATTTTTATTTTTCAGTATATATATTTCTAAATTAATTTTACTGGACACATTTTTATACAATTTTTATGGTTAATTTCTTTATAATAAGAAATTTATACATAATATACGTTTGTATTAAAATATTTCAAAAAAATATGTAAAATAAATATATAATTAAAGTAATAATATTTTCTCGATATAAACAAAATTTGTTCGTATAAATAAGAATATAAATGATATCTATACTATCTTATTAAGCAAATTTAACAAAAGTATTAAAGTCTTAAAATTTTAAATGACCAAAATACCCTTTATACTCACTTTTTCACCTTTTCACCCCCTCCTCTCCTCACATACACTCACCCTCTCACAACATTTTTTTAAAACTATAATTTTAAATTTATATTTTATACTCCTATAATTAATTTAAATTTACGTCATTTACTTTTAAATGTTTCATTTTAAACTTTTATCAAATTAACATACATAATCGTATGTCAATTAAAACATGTTTAAAAAATAATTTTTTATTTTAACAAGTTATACCATTATAATCGTCTCGTTAATAYCTTCGAAATGAGTCCAATATTGAATAGTTTTTTACTTAATTATATTATTATATATTATATAATACTGTGAAAAAATATTTTTAATATTTACGATTTATAATTTTTATAGTTATTTATTTATATATATATATATATATATATATATATATTATATATTTTGGGGTTAGGTTGTCCAAATTGCACTGTATAATATGTTTTGAATTAATATGTTCTTGGGTTTTTTTGAAATATATATATACATGTATTAATTCAACCTTAATCTGAGTTTCTGGACAAGAAATAGGGTAAGCAGTTGAAATTTCATTCTAAAACCCCCTTTTTTTTGTCTTTTCATGGCTTATGATCTATCAAATTTGTAGTTTTCTTTATTGGTTTTGAGTGTTTATCTTAAAACTCAAGTTTCTTGGTTCTTTGCTCTTGGTGTAAATCGAATACATTCGTGGAGTCGTTTAAATATGTTGGATTTTAAATATATTGGATTTTAAACTGTCATACAATTTTTTCATCGATAGTCTGTAATTGGAACCATAACTCTTATTTATTCAAATTGTATTAATATGTAAAGGACAAGTGTAACCTATATCATCGTTAAATCTTATCTTATAAAACCAATGGAACTTCAAAATCGTTAAAATTCATGGCTCCCGCCGCATTGTGCGGGTACACAACTAGTAAAATAAAAATGGTAGGACCTGAAAAGGTTGAAAATGCTTGGATGAGGTTTTGACACAGTATTTACACCAAAATCTATAAAAACAATCCAATTAGAAGCTAAAAAACAAGTATTTTGATACAAGCAGAATTTGAACCCCCGTCTTTATTGAAATAAAATAACTTAACTAGAATTTATGTCATAAATGTACTTTAAAAAAAATATAAGGGCATACAACGATCGTTACGATGGCACCATTTAGAAATGTAACTTTTTTCCAGTACAACAGAGTCATGAAGCAGTAGCCAGTGTCATCGCATGACCTTAAGAGACTTGCGCATACTAAACGATCATTAAACCCTAAATCAAATAGATGATTTGTAAAAAGAATTGTGGTGAAGAAAAGCCATAATCACAATGATTGTTGCAAAAAAAAACAAACGATGTTTTTAACCGCGAACAACTTTTTTGTTCGATCATAATTTGCAACCAACTAAAACCCCAAATGCATGAAACTGATTTTAAAAAAGAAACTCTTGACTTTAATCAATAATAAACGTCACGATGATGAATATTGATACTGATTAGTTTTGAAACAGATATAACAGATAAAAATGACAATTCACAAGTTTAAAACTTGTAAATACCAGTAATTTATTGAATGAAGCATGTATCCGAATAAATAGTTCAAGAAACGAACAAGAAATCCCCATGTGAGCATTGAGTTTTGGCCGCAACTTGGGGTCACGTGGTTGGTTGCTTGAGAAGGCAAGAAAGGAGTTGTGAGACGTGGTGCCTCAACCAAGGTCGCTGACTATGTCGTGTAACTCACTATATATTGAGATTTTGACTTTTTTCCAGTGGGTTTAGTTTGAGGCTTTGATTAATGTCATTATCAAGGGAGTTAAATGGAAACAATTAGTGTGTTATCAGTGTGAGTTTAACGCCTTACCTGATTCAGATAATTCAGGTTTTCGGTTATGAGATTGTTAGCATTTAGAGCATGTATTAAGAGTTTAGACCACATGTGAGTTTCCTTGTACCTCTTCTGAATTTCAAGAAATGCTTTGACAGTGAATTGGCTCACGATATGATTGTATTTATGATTTGTTGAGCATGCATGCAAAATGTTTTACATTGATGCTTTTATATGCATGATATATATATATATATATGTGGTGTCTCTTTTTGTGTGTGTGTGTGTGTGTGTATGGAATGCTGACTTGCAGAGTGGGAGTATCGTACTATGTAAATATGAATGTTCCTTGATCGTGATTACCTACATTATGCACCTGAAACCGTTTCACATTGCAGAAGGGATTGGCATGTGTAAGCCAAATTGAATGTTTGAGTGACTTGAAGTATGCAACCGTTTGTGTATAGTTAGTCAGGTGTGAATGTGGTATTTTGGTCCATATTCATTTGAATATATGCTTCTAAACAGTATCTTGTGTTTTCTATTGTGGTTAACAGAAATTCACTAGACCTTTTGGTTTAACCCTCACTTTAAAAACTAAAACTTTTTTC